TGTATATGGTGAACTATTTCAAGTTTTCAACACCTCAGCACAATGTTACATGCCTTCTTTCCCTTTAATTTGTATATGGTGAACTATTTCAAGTTTTCAACACCTCAGCACAATGTTACATGCCTTCTTTCCCTTTAATTTGTATATGATGAACTACTTCAAGTTTTCAACACCTCAGCACAATGTTACATGCCTCAAAAATAAATTAAAAGGAAAGAAGTGAACTATTTCAAGTTTTCAACACCTGAAATCGTCTTTTTTATTTTATAAACATATACTACAATTCCACTATCATAGCATTTTAACAATATCATGTTACTCATAATTAAAAACAAAAATTCAATGTTTGAGTCTTGAAATCTCGCGGTTTCTAAGAATGAGTGCAACAATCGAGGCCCAGCATGGCCAGGTGGTTAGGGCGCTCGGCTCGCAATCTGTGGGTCGCGGGTTCGAATCCCCGGCACACCAAACATGCTCGCCCTTTCAGCCGTGGGGACGTTATAATGTGACGGTCAATCTCACTATTCGTTGGTAAAAGAGTAGCCCAAGAGTTGGCGGTGGGTGGTGATGACTAGCTGCCTTCCTTCTAGTCTTACACTGCTAAATTAGGGACGGCTAGCGCAGATAGCCCTCGTGTAGCTTTGCGCGAAATCCATAACAAACAAACAAACAAGCAACAATCCAAAACCTTGGAATTACTTGACTTAAGTAGTAAATTAGTGGGACAATTCTTTTGATAACTTTAAAGACTAAATTTCAATGATAAACGATACATCTACTACTAATAAATGAGCTGTTTTATAGTTATTAAATTTCTCTAAAGAGAGCTTATCTATTAATTTATATATAAGATTACTAAGCCAGTTACTGGGCCGGAAAGGAACTTAATAATCTTTCTTCCCCCTTTACAGCAGAAGAGCCTTGTCAGTTAGGTTGCGAAGGGTTAAGCTATTGCAGCAACTTCAACTACCGACCTACGCAACTGTTCCGCAGCTGTGAAGTTAGAGCTGATCGTGCCGCACGTAGCGACGTTGAATTGTGGCGTGAAGGTGTGATCCGCTTGCCTCTGTTGGATGTTCCCGTGTTAGATATAAGCACGTGTTATCCAGAAACTTGGAAGGCCATAGCTTGTGTGCTACAAATTAAACCTTGCCACCAGAGGTCGCACGCTAACGTGATTTGCAAGTAAGTACTTCTTGTAAATGTTCACGAAAGTCCTGCAAATTAATATACGTCAAATAATATAAGTTTAATCAAATCTCTTAAAACATCTGCTAATTTATTTTAGGTCTGACTGTATTGACATTTTGAGCAAATGTGTGGATTATAATCGACTTCCAACTGATCAGACTCCTACGACACTTTGCGAAGTGCTCTCTCCCCCTGGAGAGGATCCACCTTGTATATCCTTAAAACCATACTTAGGTAAGTATTGACTAATCTGATTTAGTTGACTGTTTAACGGTATTGCCTTAGAAGCGTACAGTTATAATAACAAAGTTAATAACCTCTTTAATATTCTATTCAAAGTTTATATATATATTCCGTTGGTTTCCAATTAAACCACCTCTTCCACTTTAACACAACCAATCCGGTTATTGTAATTTTAAACACTCAACTGGTATTATCCAAAAGTTAAGGTTTTTGTTTTTGAGTAAAGCTACCTGCACTCTGTCAACCGCGTGGAACCGAACTCCGGATTTTACCTATTGCAAATACACATAAGACATATCATTCCGGTTCTGGTTAAATTCAAGAGGAAAGAAAACCTACCGTCCGCTAAACAATGTAGCATGTCTGCCTCTGCTGGTTTGTATTGGCACACTTTGTGGAATTCATCCCATGTTGTTGCCCATTCATTCGAAAACGTCTGAAAATAAAAGTTCATATCAAAATTTTTAGCATGATAAGTTATAATACAGAAAATACATAGCTTACCTATTAAATATCAAAAAGAAAGTAATTTAATTAAAGACAATTAGACAGGGAAATGGTCTCTCTCAATTTGGCAATTTTAATATAAGTTTATAAAAGAGAGAAAATACAATATCTACACCATTTTAGACTCGCTGATATTTAGAATTTACGATATTTGTAAATAATATTACCTTCGCAAGTGAGCATTTGTCGTTTTATCTATTTAACTACTTATTAATGAAGAGTGTACCTCGTTGATAAGTGCTGCCACCTGTCCTCAGTGATATTCATTTATAAATATTTTAAACACCATTAATGGTTATAGTATTTTGGTACTTGTGTATAAAGTTAAAATCATAAATAATATTCAACGTTAAACTGGTACACAATTAAAAACATTTTATTTAGGCCTATCTATGGCTGTTGTAACGTCGAAACATGTAGGGTCGTCAACTTTTTGAAGGCCATAGATAGGCCTAAATAAAATGTT